CACACAGGGCCAGGGACCAAGGCAGCCACGCCCACTACAACAGGCACAATCCATCATACATACCATGAGGCCAGACTCCAAGCCTGCACACACATGTATGCATGCACACACACACACACACTAACACCTACATGTGTACCTGCCTGTACCTGATATGATACAAGCATAGGACGTCCAACACGCATGCAAGTGTTCACACGTGCAATCATTCATGCAACAAATTATTGCACCTGCTACATGAAAGGCGCTGTCCTAGGCACTGGACACATTATAGGGAACAAAGCAGACTAAGCCCATGCCCTCATGGAGCCTGTACCCAATGGTCTTCCAGGCCAGGCTCCCACCAGGGCACACACGCAGATGAGGCACACATGGCAGGAGTCAGGTGCCCAGCGCACAGGACACTGAGCCGTCCGTGCCCCTCTCTGCAAGTCTAGCACCCGTCCCGCCCCTGCTGGGCATGGGGCCTCACTAGTTTGTGGGGGTGGAGGTTTTGAATGAGACTCTGATGGAAAGAACATGGCCTGGTGTTGGGTGGGGGCAGTCTGGGCTGAGCTTTTGGACATGGGGCTCTAGTTCTAGCTCTACCACTGACCTGCTCAGTGGCTTCTAATGTTTCACTCCACTGGGTTCTCTGGGTTTGTCCATTTGTGTAACAGAGAAGTTGGACTCAATGATTTCTCATGGCTTTTCCTGCTCCGAAGGTCTAGGAATCTGGGCTGCAGGCCTGGTGAAGAGGGGAGGGGAGGAGTGGATGGAGGACAGGGCAGTCTCCTCCTACCACTGGGCTCCCTCTGTGCCCCAGGGATAGTGCCCCTTGGCTCTGAGGCAATGGGCCTGGCCTCTGCATTTTCGGAGGGGCAGTTTCCAGGGTGTCCTGCGTCAGGTGGGTTACTGTGTCCCCTGGAGGGGCCCTGAGCTAGGGGTGCAGGCCCAGCCTGTGGGGTCCTGCACAGTGTGGACCAGGGGTCCTTGCTGACCAAGAGCCTGCCTCACATGTTCTGCAGGGAGCGAGGTCTGAGCACGTTCCTGTTCCGGCCTCACTGCGGCGAGGCTGGGTCCATCACCCACCTGGTGTCTGCTTTCCTGACTGCCGACAACATTTCCCACGGGCTGCTCCTCAAGAAGGTAACCAGCCATTCACAGACATCCGCCTTCAGCGCCAGCCCTGCCCTGGGCTCCCCTGGGGAGGAGTGGGATCTCTGGGCTCGTTTGCCCCTGGGAGTCTCTGGGCCTTTTCCTGGGCAGGGCTGTCTGTAGTCATTTTCGTCGAATATTTAATTATGAAAGTGAAATTATAAGTATAACACAATATGGATTTCCAACAAATGGAGAAATGGGAAGAAAAACCCCACCCATATTGCTATTGCTTTAATAGAAACAGCCATTTATAGCTTTTTAGTTGTTCCTATTCCATCTTTTTTTCTTCCAGAGCATATTTCTAAATGCTTATTATAATAATAAACAGAGGTTTTTGTTCCTTCCTTGTCCCTTAACTTTATTTAACAAGCATTTTTCTGTGCTGCAACGTATGTATACTCCTCGTTCTAAAGGCTGTTGGAAGGACGGCCTGCCATTTGGATGGTCCATCTTTGATTCAACCATCTCTAGTTGCTGGGCAGAGAACCAGCTTTTTGCTGGTGTAAACAATGCTCCCATGAACTCTGTGCATGTGGTCTGCGCCATTGCTTGGATGGCTTCCACAGGGACGATGTTTGCTCAAACTGCTCCCCTGCTGCGGTCCTGGGAGGGCTAACCACCTGTCACATTTCTGTGTGGGGTGGGTACTGTACCAAAGGAACCTCTCTAGCCCAGTTAGGTCTGCCCCTTCCCATCTGCTGGAGTGTTTATAGCCTCAACCTGAATGTTTGCAGTCAAAGCAACAAAACCACCAAGTGGGGCATCTTCCAGACTGACCACTGAGGTCAGCGCCTGGGGAGGGCAGCTGAGTATGCAGGTTGGGGTCATCTGGGGCATGCAGCTGCCCTGAGCTATGCCTCCACTTTGGGGGCAAGAGGGAGCAGTTCCAACAGTGGCAGGAGGGCAGACCCAGGGAGAGAGGGGCATGTGATGTAGGAATGAGGTGAATGTTGAGGTCGGGGGAAAAGGAGGAGGATGGGATGTCCTGGCTTTGGGGAACTGGGGCTTGCCTGGGGCCTTGCACAGACACTGCTCAGACCCCTGGCTTCCACTGATGATGCTTCTCCGCTCCCTCCCTCCCTGCCCACCCCAACCCTCCCCACCCTCCCCTCTCTGGCCCATCACCTGAATTTGGTGGTTCTCTTGCAGAGTCCGGTGTTGCAGTATCTCTACTACCTGGCTCAGATCCCCATTGCCATGTCTCCTCTTAGCAACAACAGTCTGTTCCTTGAATACTCCAAAAACCCTCTGAGGGAGTTCCTGCACAAGGGACTGCATGTTTCCCTCTCCACCGATGACCCCATGCAGTTCCACTACACAAAGGTGAGGACTTTAAGGGAGGTGAGGACTGCAGATCCTCCCAGCAGGCACCCGTCCTGGCCTGGCCTCTCACTGCAGTGCACGGCTCAGTTCTGCTGTCAGGGTGAGGGCAGTGGCCCCGTGAAGACAGCAGGTCAGCTCCTGGTGAGGGAAGGAAGTGTTCTTCCAGGAGCCCTCTTTTGGGGGCTTTGAAATCTTGAAGGTACAATTTCATTTCCTTGCCTTTCCCTATTTTCCCTTTCTTTGATTTAGTAGCTCCGTGACGCTGGCACAGTTTCTTAATGTTTCTGTATCTTATTCTTCTTCATGTGTAAAATAGGGGGAAAACTGTCTCACATCTACCTTTCAGCTGGCGTGTGAGGAGGCTTCATTAAGATGGTGAAGAGCCTAACAGAGCATCTGCACATAGCTTATATTCAAAATGTTGGCTACCATTTTCTAATAATGTTATTATTATTACACTTTGGACTGTGGGGAAAGGGAAGAGGAAGGGAAAGGCAATGTCATGCATGGGGACCAGCCATTAGTGAGCCAAACACATTTTGATGGTATTGATAAGACAGCCACCGATTAGTGAAAACAGAAGTCCCAGAGTCTTCTAGGACAGGCTCTCCAAGCTTTGGTCTAAGACCCCTTTATACTCTCAAGAACTGAGGCCCTCAGAGAGCATGAGTTATATCTAGTGATAAACCTATTAAAGGTTAACATGAATAGCTATTTTTATGAAAAATAACCATATTTCCTAAAATAAAAAAATACTGAGAATGGCCTTGTTTTACATTTTTGCAAATCTCTTTTAATGTCCGGTTTAATAGAAGACAGCTGGATTCTCATATCTGCAATCTGTTGTGCTAAATTGTTTCTACCAAAGTATAGGAAGAAAACCTTCCCCTTTCCAACTAGATATCTTTGGAAAAGGGAGGACCTTTTAAACGGCCTTGGGGACCCCCAGGGATCCGGGGACCACATCTTAAGAACCGCTGCTGTGAGATCCAGAGGCAGTGGGGTAATGGAAGGGCTTGGGTTAGTCAGACATTTCGCATCCCAGAAGATAAAGTGATAGCACAGCCCAAACCCAAATCCTTTGGGGATTACACTGTCTCACCGCTGATACTGATCATTTCTCCTTATTTAAGGTTTCATCTCTGCTCTTAGTAGTGTACCCAGATTAACTTTGACTTTTGGACAATCTTAAGGAAATGGTCTGTTAAATAAATAACAAACCATGAGCAGGTACTAAAGGTGTGCCTGACCCGGGAGACTGTCCCAGGAGAGCAGGCTGGTGTCCCCATGACCAGCACAGGGCTTCAGACATGTGCTGTTAACAACACCTATGTAGGTGTTCTTTCATCTATCTCTCCTTGGTAACCTAAGATTTCACACAAAATCTTAGGGGGAGGACATCGTTTGATTATCCAGGTGCCAGTCATGAAAGAAAAATTAAATCTGCAACGTCTGATGTTTGTAGCTTTGGAAATCTGTGCAGCATTGAAATGGATATTCTGCCATCTAATACATTCACTTTTGGGGGAATCTAGGAAGCACTTATGGAAGAATATGCAATTGCTGCCCAAGTGTGGAAGCTGAGCACGTGTGACCTGTGTGAGATCGCCAGGAACAGCGTGCTGCAGAGCGGCCTCTCACATCAGGTACGGTGTGGCGGCGCTGTCCCTCCTGGCCTTTCAGCACGGGCACAGTGAATGCCTGTTGACCCGGTACTTTCTAGGCTCTGGCATCAGTGATGAAGGGGACAGGCAGGGTCTCTAGGGGAGAACCCCAGGGAGGAGACTTTCGAATTTTCCTGGTTGCTCTGTCACCTTTTCCAGACCTCTACTCAAATGTTACCTCCTCAGAGGCCTTCCCTGACCACCCATTCTGCAATAGACACATTTACCTTTCTCTGTCCATTTACTCTTTGCTTCATAATATTATTACTGATGTTGTAATATGTAGCTACGTGTTTTTATGTCTTTCCCTCTGGAATGTACGTTCCATTAGGGCAAAGGCTGTTTTGTTCAGCATTATATCCCTCGGCCTAGAATAGCCCCTGGCACACACTAGGCCCTCAGTATTTTTTGACTAGGGAAACAGTACCTAGGTTGAATAAGAAACTCTAGGGATGGGACCTGGACATCAGTAGCTTCTTACAGCCTCCTGGGTGATTCTGACGTGCAGGGTTGAGAATCATTGCTCTGGTGGCGCAGGTCCCGGGTACCTCCTCTGGGTGATGTCGCTGGTACAGGAACAGGGCTGCATCGGTGTTGCTCTTTTGATGCGGATGCAGAGGAGTTAGAGGCTGCAGGTTCAGTGTGTGCACTCGGTTCCCTGGACTGGCTCTCCCCAAACTCCCGACTGTCTGCCTTTGCCAGCTCTGAGGAGGGACTCCTTAAGACTTTACCT